CACCCGACGCGCCGGCGTACTCCGACCAGACGCGCAAAGACTTGGCGGTAAACGTGCTTCGCGCCGGCGTCTGGGGCTCCTACCGTCACCTCGCGCTGCCCGACGCCGCCGACCTCCAGCTTCAGGTATAGTTCATATATAAAATTTATATTTATTTCATAAAATAATTAATAAACTTTAATTATGTAACTTATTGACTTAAAAAAAAATTGAATACTTTATATGTAATTACGTTTTTGACCTTAGAAAATGTATTGAGGTCCTCTGCACCCACGAAGCTTTTGGCGCGTTATCGAAGTTTATTCCCTGTGCGTGTATGTGCGTGTTAGAGATGTTAGGTTCATGTAAGAGCTGTCGCTTGTGCATTGTGACGCGCAAGTAGAAGCGTATGTGAGACATGAGGTATTGGTGCGCAGGTGGAGCACGCGTACGTGAACACGCTGACGCGCGGCGACCTGGCCTCGCTGCGTTGGGTGGAGAGCGGGCTGGCGTACGCCGCGCCGCGCGCCGGCACCACGCCCTGCGCCGTGCACTACGCGCCGCTCAACTTCCGCGACGTGATGCTGGCCACCGGCAAGCTGCCGCCCGACGCGCTGCCCGGCGACCTCGCGGGACAGGTTCCTCACGCAAATCTTTCAATATCCGGCGACTCTTTTCTATCTAAAGATTTGTATTTTTCTCAAAAGAGACAATTGCTTCTTCGCTTGCAAATGAGACTAATTTATATAATCTCAGCAATAACAAAAGTTAACGGGAAACGTACAGGAGTGCATACTGGGTCTGGAGTTCAGCGGGCGCGCGCCGGACGGACGGCGCGTCATGGGCATGGTGGCGGCGCGCGGGCTGGCCACCACCGTACTGGCCGACGACGGCTTCCTGTGGGACGTGCCCGCCGCCTGGACGCTGGAGGACGCAGCCACCGTGCCCGTCGCCTACGCCACCGCCTACTACGCGCTGTGCGTGCGCGGCCGCATGCGGCGCGGCGAGAGCGTGCTCGTGCACGCGGGCACCGGCGGCGTCGGCCAGGCCGCCATCGCCATCGCGCTGCACGCCGGCTGTACCGTGTACACCACCGTGGGCACGGCCGACAAGCGCGCCTTCCTGCGCGACCGCTTCCCCGCGCTGCCCGACGACAACATCGGCAACTCGCGCGACACCAGTTTCGAGCAGCTGGTGCTGCGACGCACGCGCGGCCGCGGCGTCGACCTCGTGCTCAACTCGCTGGCGGCCGACAAGCTGCTGGCCTCCGTGCGCTGCCTGGCCAACGGCGGCCGCTTCCTCGAGATCGGCAAACTTGACCTTTCCAACAACACACCGCTCGTCAGTGTCTATATTATCATTTTCTATATTATAAAGGAATGCAAATTTGAACTAATTCAAAGAGCGACTTTGATAGAACGGTTCGGACTCGTGTTTGTGTACAATGCGGTTCGTCTGCAGGGCATGGCGATATTCCTGAAGAACACCACTTTCCACGGTATCCTGCTGGACGCGCTATTCGAAGCGGAGGTGGCGGAAGGCGTGGAAGGCGTGGGACATGAGCGCGCCGCCGTCGTACGCTGCGTGGCGGAGGGCATCGCCTCCGGTGCCGTGCGCCCGCTGCCGCGCACCGTCTTCGCCGACCACCAGCTGGAGCAGGCCTTCAGGTGTGCACACGCGGGCACGGCTCTCTACCCGCTCTGGGCATGAATTATTTCGCAAAACGTAGGACGTGCCTTTACGCCCTGCGTTCCCTAAGTAGAAAATAAAACGGAGGTGGTAGCAGGTCAAAGGCTACTGATCCGAGTTGGGTACAACGGGCCGCCGTGTCAGCTCCCCGCACCGCCGCACCGCCGCACGCTTGCTCTGCGGCTATCGCGTCAATAGCGACATATAGTTTGAAAGATAACTACAACTATTTATGTATATGCAGGTACATGGCGACTGGGAAGCACATCGGCAAAGTAGTGGTCCGCGTGCGCGACGAGGAGGCGTCAGGAAGCAAGCTGGTGCCGGCCGTGCCGCGCACTTACTTCCGCCCCGATAGGACCTACGTGCTCGTCGGTAGGTGCACCGCACCACGCGTTGTCCTTTACAATGATCATTTTATTTTCTGAATATTAGTATCATTCTCAGATCCATTGGAAGTTAATGTAATAATAGGGAGACATTTTTACTTCCGAGCTAGCTTTCTAGAAATAGGAAAATTTTACAGTATTTAGTTACCATCCCTTTCGGTAGTCAGTAGGTAAAGAGAGCACATCGTTTCCCTTCACTAGAGAAAAGGAAAAGAAGGAAACAATACATACGCCAAAAACTAAATAGAGTATAACCGGTGTGTGTGCGCGGTGTGTGTGCAGGCGGGCTGGGCGGCTTCGGGCTGGAGCTGGCGGAGTGGCTGGTGGTGCGCGGCGCCACGCGGCTGCTGTTCAACTCGCGGTCCGGCGTGCGCACCGGCTACCAGTCGTGGTGCATACGACGGTACGTGTGTTCGCGTTGTCGCCTCGTGTCGACGTTGTGAGGCGGCGCAGTGATGCGATGACACGTGGCGCGTGCAGGTGGCGGGCACGCGGCGTGCACGTGGCGCTCAGCACGGCGGACGCGACGGCCGCTGCGGGCGCGCGCACGCTGCTGCGCGAGGCGGCGGCGCTGGCGCCGGTGGGCGGCGTCTTCAACCTGGCGGCTGTGCTGCGCGACGCTTTCCTCGAGAATCAGACGCCCGACGACTTCCGAGCCGTCGCTCGTCCCAAAGTCGATGGTCTGTATACTTTGAACCGGTTGAATACTTGTCAAAAAATTAATAAATCTTTCGTTTTGTCATATTACGTCAGTTCAGATGTATTCTTATAACTTGTATAAGGGACGGTAAAATTGTATGGGCGCAGGCACGAAGGCGCTGGACTCGGCGACGCGCGAGTTGTGCCCCGAGCTGGAGTACTTCGTGGTGTTCTCGTCGGTGTCTTGCGGGCGCGGCAACCCCGGACAGAGCAACTACGGCCTCGCCAACTCAGCCATGGAGCGCATCGTGGAGCGCCGCCAGGCAGACGGGTTGCCGGGTCTGGCCGTGCAGTGGGGCGCAATCGGTGCGTATGCCGCGCTCGACCGAGCTCGCGCACCGCACACCGCACACCGCACACCCTCTGACCGCCGCTGTCTGTCCGCAGGCGAAGTGGGGCTCATCGTGGAGACAATGGGTGGCGACGAGAGCGAAGTGGGCGGGACAGTGCCGCAGCGCATCTCGTCCTGCATGACGGCGCTGGGCGCGCTGCTGGCGCGGCCTCACGCCGTCACCGCCTCTATGGTGCTGGCGGACAAGCGGCGCGCTCCCGCCGCACCCTCGCACGACCTGCTGCACGCCGTCGCTAATATACTCGGTGAGCGCGCGCCCCTCGCGTCTCTACAGCCTCATTTCAATCATGAATATGTACGTAACGCAGCCTTTTTTTTTTACAGGTATAAAAGACCCGAGTAAAGTATCAGAATCTGCCAATCTGGCGGAGTTGGGCATGGATTCGTTGATGGGTGCCGAGATAAAGCAGACTCTGGAGCGGGGATACGACGTGGTGCTGGGCGTGCAGGAGATTCGCGCGCTCACGTTTGCCAAGCTTCGTGCCCTCGCTGGCGGCGAGGCGGAGGGCGGGGCGGAGGTCGAGGTGCCGGAGCAGACCGCTGGGGTGGAGCACGCGCCGCCCGCCGGTGACTTGGTGCAGTTTCCGGCACTCGAGGAGCTGGTGCCCGAGCAAGTGCTCGTTAAATTACCCAGTGCCGCACCCGATGACTCTAATATTAAACCAGTATTTATGGTTAGTTTCGTTTTTTCTTTATCTAATTTGTCGGTACTCGGAGGGCGTGTGGGTGTGAGTGTGAGTGAGCGTGTGTCGTTTGGCGCAGGTGCACCCGATAGAGGGCGTGGTGCACGCGCTGGCGGGCGTGGCGCGGGCGGTGCGCGCGCCGGCGCTGGGCCTGCAGTGCGTGGCCGCGGCGCCGCTCGCCGACATGACCGCGCTCGCCGCCTTCTACGTGCGCCAAGTGCGCGCGGCGCAGCCCGACCCGCCCTACACGCTGCTCGGCTACTCCTTCGGAGCCAGCGTTGCCTTTGAAATGGCGCTACAGCTGGAGCAGGTTCGTGTTCATATTATATTCCATCCACGATATTCTTTCAATTATAATTGGACGTGACGTCATTCTTCTTACCTCAAAATTACAAAAGAAGTCATTGACGTTTCGAAACATTGTTCGGCTGCTCCGATTAGTGGTTCGATGCAAACGCAACGCATTCGAGATGTATCAGTAGCGTGATATACTGTAATTCCAGGCCGGCTGCGAGACGCGCCTCGTGCTGGTGGACGGCTCGCCGGCGTACGTGGCGACGCACACGACGCGCGGCAAAGCCAAGCGAGCCGCGCGCTCCGCCGCCACCGACGAGGCGGACGCGCTCACCTACTTCGCCCAGCTGTTCGCGGAGATCGACGCCAATAAGGTAACTGCCCTCTGCGTCCGGTCATCTACTGCGAAGGTCTTAAACGACGACGGCGCTGACAACACCTCATGGTTTTCAAGAAGCAGCTTCTTCCATTTAACCGCATACAACGGAGAGCGAGTCGAATCTTCAACGACCGAGCTCTTACTGATCGGCTCGACACTCTGGCGCTGCGGAGGGACGTTAGTTCTCTCTGCATTATCTACCGCATATACCACGGGGAGTGCTCTGAAGAATTGTTTGGAACGATTCCTGCCGCCGAGTTCCGTCATCGGACGACACGACAAACCGCCAGGTTCCATCCGCACCATCTCGATGGCTGGCAATCCACAACCTTCCTGCCTCACACAGCAGCGTTGTGGAACGGTCTGTCCTCGGCGGTATTTCCAAACCGCTACGACTTAGAGTCCTTCAACAAGCGGGCTTATCACCACCTCAAAGGCCGGCAACGCATCTGCGGTTCCTCTGGTATTGTTGATGTCCATGGGCGTCGTTGAACACCTCGGTGTTCCCGCTGCTGGTTTGCCCCTTCTGTTATAAAAAAAAGTAGCGAAAAAAAATTTTAATATTAAAAAGACGTGATGGCATTCTCGCAGGTGTTCTCGGAGCTGGAGAAGCTTGGCGGGTGGGATGCGCGCGTGCAGCACGTGACGGCGCTGCTGCGCGGCGCGACGTCGCACTCGGCCGCCGCCCTCGCCGCCGCCGCCGGCTCCTTCTACCGCAAGCTGGTGGCCGGCGACACCTACCGCCCCGCGCGACCCCTCCGAGCACCCGTCACGCTCTTCACGGCGCGCGACAACTACGTCACACTCGGAGAGGACTACGGCCTGGCCGAGGTGTGCTCCGGCCCGCTGACCACGCTGCAGCTGGCGGGCACGCACCGCTCCATTCTGACGGGCGAGGCGGCGCGCGCCATCGCCGACCACCTGTCCGCGTTGCAGGCGGTGCAGGCGGCGCAGACGACGCGGCAGTAGCACACGGCGCGCCGACGCCGGCGACCGCGCCGACGCCGGCCGCGGTAGTGCGCGCCCAGCTCGCCCGCTCACTATGCTTTTGTGTACGACTTTCATTTAATGGATTCCTCTTATGTACACTGACGCGGCCTCTCTATATGTCATCTGGTAGTGCGAGCTTGTAGTTGCAATTGTTTATTTATTAAAAGGAATGTTTGCGGAGCTCGGCTCCCACTTGTGATAAGGGTACATTCCGAGCACGCACCCCGACCCTGCTTCTCGGGGACTCGTTTAGTTGTAAATAGAATGTTTTTATTTTTTTTTTATTTTAATTAATAATTTAAACTGACTACTATGGTAGAAATGGAATTATTCTTATGACTCGAATATAAAGTTAAGTGGCAGGGGGTGGGGTGCGGTCAGACACTGCTGTTGGTTTTCCTTCGTCTGAAGATGTCTGTCGATGTGTAGTTTGATGTTGCTCTTGCTTGAAATGGATCGCGCATAACGGCTCACATCCGCGGCGCCTCGTTGCGTGTTGCGTGTTGTTGCGACGCCGACGCCGACGCCGACACTCCAGGCAGCAGCTGGACCGAGTGTTGCGAGGGAAGTGAACATATTATGTTATATGTTCATTTGAGGTTAGTTTTGCGCTGGCCGGACAGCCACTGTCCTGGCTTCAGTCCGCACTCACTGTGATCTGACGACTCGCATTTCTATATAAATAGTTTTATATTAAATGTATTGACACAATTAGGTGGTTATGATGATTATTTATTGCGATTATTGTACGGTCAATTCGTATGTTAAACTTTGGAGACGGTTAATGTATTCAATGAGAAGTGTAATATTTTTTCATTAAACAAATTGATAGACATGTGCGTTTTATTTCCACTTTTTGTTCCAATCAGAGTTAAGTCCACACACTGAAGAATGCCTCGCCCTCACATCTATAAAGGGGCAGCCTATAAGACGTAGCATTTTGTACCTGTTTTTATTTCAGCCATTACGGTGCTACGGTAGCGATGGCGTGGAGTCGAACTAATAATATAATTAAAACGTATAACTGTAAAGTATTGAGATCGATCTTGTAATAAAAAGAAATAATCGAACAAATGCATACAATAATTTAGGTATTTTATTATACTTTGAATTTATTATAATAGTTATTTGGCAATGTATCGTACAATTAATTAAAAAATAAATAAATACATGCCTTTTATATAAACACCGAAATTTTCGTTTTAATGTTTTATTTCTTTATGTAGTAATAAAAGATGAAGTAAGAATATAAAGAAACAACATATATTGTAATTAAAAAAAAATCACGAAATTGCAAGTTCTATGAGAACAACTATCGAGAACCAAAAATCTTAATGGATTTTAACTAAAGCCTTATCTAGTGAATTGTAATATTCGATCTTTTTTTTTTTTTTACATTTGAAATATTCGAAACTTTTACATTTTTGCTTTAATTTGAAATTACTTCAACATAATCTTTTTATATTTAACAATAAACTAACAAATAATCTAATGAATAAATTTTGAAATTCTATGTCAAAGTGTTTGTGTAATTGGATCCCATGGACGACAGAAGTGTCTTTATTTTCGAGTTATTTATTTAACGATCGAACCGATTCCACGTGCAATCCTGAACACAATTGTAAAACTAATATATCTTAAATAAACACACTATAACTATCAATTAACGTCTATGGGCACGTTAAATTGGAACATAGCAAGGGCCAATCCATTTTATAGAGGTCAGTGCCTCGCCCTCACAAGATGGCTGCTCGTTTGACGCGCCAGTAACATTAATAGCCTACTTTGGCAAAAGAATCGTACTGTATAAAGTGTTATCTGAAAATGTTTATTTTGTATCATAGATCACTTTAGTTCCGGATAAACCAATTATAGGGGGGGGGAGACTATACATAGGTATAGGTCCCTTTTACGGATTTAGCCACAAAATTCATTTCAATCATCTTTGATTATCTTTGCTGAACATTAAAATAAATGAAAGTATATTCATTTTAAACTTTAAAATATTATAAATGCTTATGTTTAGAATGATGGAGGAATGTTTGTTTCAAGGTTACCCTGAATGGCTAAATGGATCTGGACGAAATGTGGTATAGATGTAGAATATAGATCAAATAACTAACTCTATCCAAAGTTATATCATTTAGCTGCCTTTATCTGAAAGTCAAAGTAGTAAATAGATGTTATTCGTATAAAAAACACGGTTTTTTTTTGTTCATAATTAATGGAATGAACGAATACATGGAATGAAATATTGTTGTAATAAGCTCCCTCTGGTGTTGAATATTGTTATAAAATGAAATTAAAATATTAATAACACTTGTACACATCGTATCCATAAAGGGCACATATAGAAATGATTCCTAATAGCACATTCCATTTTTTTTTGTTGGCGCCGTTTCTTCAGCTTCCTAACAGACGGCGCTGTAGCGAGACATCGTTTTATTTAATCGCGATGTTTAGATACCATGTCTCGCTACAGATATGCTTCCCGCAAGTCAGGAATGTGTGATGTTTTTGTTTGGTAGTTGTCTTGTGTTGTTCTTTCGTTGATCCTCGTGTCGTTTGAGTTTTTTTTTTTTTGTTAACGCGGGGAATGTGTTAATGCACTTCGCCGTCGTGCTGCGGGGGCAGCAGGGACGGTTTCGTGTGGGACTTCCGGCCTGGGAACAAGACCGGACTACCCACTAAACCCCGCGGTATTCTCCTACGCCCAACCGGACCGTGGCATCTACGTTAGTTTATCCACGGCCCGGCTAGGGGAGAGCCCCTCGGTAGGGGCTCGACTCGTGTAGGGAGGGGTCATATCTTAGAACCCTCCCATCACCCTATGATGAAACCCTCCTCAGAACACGAGAGGAGGGCCATCCGCCACAATCGGCGCGACAGGTCGCGCGTGGCACTCTTCAACATGGTTATAGGGCCGCCGCGTACGTCTCAAGCCGGCGGCCCTTCGCTGGAGCCCTGCGGGGCGGCAGCGTCTCGTTGGCGCGTTCGCGCTCCCGCAGGGCTTCTCTTTTGGCCGCCATCACCTCGCGTGCGAAGGAGGCGACGGCGGCCCAACTCTGTTCGCTGCCGACCATCGCATGTATGACGGCTGGCAGCGACAGATCTCGCCCTATTGCGCCAGTGAGCGTGGCGCGTTGCGCGTCCCAGCCCGTGCACACGGCGAGCGTGTGCTCTGCCGTCCACGTCGCCGGACGCGCAATGGTGGCACTCGGGACCCGACTCAATCCCCACAACTTCACACAGGTAACGGCTGAAACAGCCGTGCCCTGTGAGAAGCTGCGTCAGGAAGTAAGTCGGTTCCCGGTGCCTCGCCTCCACCCACTGGCGCAGGACGGGACGGACGGCCTCGATGAGCCGTCTGCTCACCGTGGCGTCCGCCAGCCTCTCCTTCCATCGCCGGAAGAGATCGTCGCGACCTTCCTTCCTCCAGCGTACGATCTCTTCCGGGAGGGGCTCCTCGCCTCGCTGCCGCATCAGGGCTCTTCTCCGGTAAACCTCCGCTAGGACCCCGGCTTCGAGGTCCCAGGGGAGGCTACCGGACATAAGGCACACCGCCTCGTACGACACGGTGCGGTACGCTCTGGAGGCCCTCTGAGCCATGGTCCGCTGCGCACGTCGCAGCAGAACCATTTGCTGTCGAGGACGAGACCAAGATATTTCATGGTCCCCCCCGACAGCAATGGGGGTGCCGCTCACCGCGATGGAATATCCGCGGGGGGGCTTAGTCCGAGGCCCACGAAAGAACATGGCCTCGGACTTCTCCAGGGCCACGCTCAGGCCCAGAGCCCTGATGCGGCGTACCACGTGGGCCGTGCCCGCAGTGGCGAGCACGCCCGCGTCCCGAAACGTTGGGCCCGACGCGGTGACCAGGGTGTCGTCGGCGTAACAAAGTACGCCAACACCCCGGAGATTGGCACCGCGCAGGACCCAATCGTATCCGATGTTCCACAGGAGCGGCCCGAGGACCGACCCCTGTGGAACACCGCACGTCATGTCCCGGCGGACCACTTGGTCCCGGGCCGGGTAAAAGATGGCCCGGTCGACGAAGTAGTTCGCCAGGACTCGCCTGAGGTACCCCGGGACGCGGTGGTACCTCAGCGCCTCCGCGATTGTCGTCCAGGGGATCGTGTTGAAAGCGTTGGCGATGTCTAGTGACACCGCCTACAACACTCCCCCCTGGCCGACAACCTCCTCGAGCCTGTCTCTGAGTCGGGTGATGGCGTCGACGGTGGACCGCCCGCGACGGAAGCCGAACTGGCCGCCGCTCAGGTCAAGCCCAACCGCCTCCATGTGTGCGACGAGGCGTGCCGCGAGCACTCGCTCAAACAGCTTGCACGCCTCGTCAAGCAGCACGATGGGGCGGTAGGCCGACGGCGAGTCGGCCCGGCGCCCGTGCTTCCTGAGAAGCACGAGCTTGCCCGTCTTCCACCGTCGCGGGACCCTCCCGGACGCCAAGCACTCCGACAGCAGGGACAGCGTCTCCTCCTTGAGGACCGGCACGACATGGGCGAGGACCCGCCCAGGGACGTCGTCCGGGCCCGGGGCGCGGTTCTTCAGCCTAAGCCTAAGAACCGCAGCCTCCAGCTCGGCCTCGGAAACGGGCGGGACTTCCTCGCCCGCTGCGGCCGGTCCCGGACCCTCTCCCGGCAAGGGACGGTCCGGCGCGACGGCCGGAGCGTCCGAGGGGGCGGAGACCATGTCGAACCGGATGTAACGGTGATCCGACAGGGTCTCCACCCCCTCCTCCACTTTCCACCTTCTCGTGCGGCGGGCCAGGGCGGGGCTCGCAAACGACAAATCCACGATGGACCCGCCCTGGCTCCGCACGCACGTCTGGACCGTCCCCCTGTTCAGGAGGACGAGTCCCGTGGACACCGCGCAATCCGCCAGCGTCTCACCCCTGAGGTTTGTCACCGGAGAACCCCACGCACTAGATTTGGCGTTGAAGTCTCCGGCGACCACCACAGGGGTGGGGTGCACATCAGCCACAAGAGCGCCGACTTCAGCGAGCATCCGCTCGAAGTCGGCAAAGCTCTTGCTTGGCGCGAAGTACACCCCGATCACTGCAACGCCGCCCAGCGACGCTAGGACCCAGCCGCGACCCTTCGTTACACTGTCGAAGGGTGCGGGGCCTGTGCGCCGCCAGGCGACGATAGCCACCGAGTCGTCCTGATCGCCAGCCCAGTCGACGCGGGGGCGGACGTAGTACGGCTCGGCGACTATGGCTACGTCGATCTTCCACTGCGCCGCGGTCTGGATCAGAAGATCCTGTGCCGCGACACAGTGGTTGACGTTCGCCTGCAGGATCGAGACACTTTTGGCCATTATTGTTGGGCGGTGTCCATAGCCTCCACCTCGGCGGATGCCGTAGACGACCGTTTGAGTTTAATAATTTAATCGGGGAATGTGTTTATGCACTTCGCACACCAAACCATCCCTGTTGACCCCGCAGGTAACATGTTCCACCTGAGTGACATAGTGTTAAATTGAATTACAAGAACAAGGAAAAAGGAAAAAAAAAAAAAACGACGAGTAACACAGATCTATAACAAAATCATCAAAACAAAACATCGCATACGGGGTCACCTTGTGGTCCGAGTTGATGTTATCCCTCTTCTCTAATTTTCGATCCCCCCGCCAGCCGTTAAAGGTGTTGGCATCTCCCTCCAATACCACTCTCTCTGTCCCCGGTTCGGTTTGTAGAGCGTAATATTGATGAGCTCTGCCAACCGTCCAGCCCTGAGTGCCCGGGGCGCCTTTAGCAATATGAGATTGAGGATCTCGCTATCAAATCCCATCGCTCCCGCACCGGGCACTCCTGGCTGAACGCGTTGTGGTCTGCCTTATCCATCTTTGCTGATTTACAATTGCAGCATAATGGCTCTGTGCCTGCCTTCCATTCTTCACATTCCGTCTTTTTGTGGGGCCCCCCACAGTGGCTACATTTTTCATCCGTTTCCTTACATAGCCGTTTGGGATGTCCATATCCCAAGCAGTGAGAACATTGGACGAGAGGCGACTGGTCTTCGACTCTGATTCTCTGTAGGTCGATTTGGACCCTGCCTGCCTCGGTCATTTTCTTCCAAATCTGTGGGTTGACCCTCATCACTATGTGCTGTGTTAATCGGTTTCTCGCTCTCTTTTTATATACTATCTCTATCTTCTCCTCCTTTTCTTTTCCATCGCTCAGCATTCCCTTATTTTGATTTCTTAGTGCGGTAATAATGTCTTCGTCTGTATTATACTTGAAGACATTAAGCAGGATGATCAGAGGGTCTTTGTTTTTTTTTTTTTTTTTT